GACCCTCCCCCAACACGGCTGCACCCGGCAAACAACATTGGAAGCCGTTTCACCTGGCGATCCGGTAGCATGTCCTTCTCTCCCACGCCTGGTTCCTCCTTCCTCTCGAGCCTGTGCCTGTCCTTTTCTTTTAACAAGTCTGTTCGACCGCTGATAGGCCACCTCAGGGCCCACCCACACCTCCACAGATGCTTTGTCTATTGTCCAACCATTTCACAGTGGATTATAACAACATTATACAAAACACAAAAATGATGCAAATAACATCAATACTACACATACAAATAAACGCTTAAATCAGAATAAAACGTAGCATAAAACAAACACAAATTTCCACTGTGTGACAAGATGGAAATTTGTCTGTAAAGATTTATATCAGCGGATAGCCCTGGGTCATTTCCTGTTCCTTTTGCAGTACAAGTCTTGTTCACTGAAAGCAGAGGGTGAAAATCTGTAGAAACGACGGGATTGCTTCAATGAGTTTAATCTGACACCAACCATTTCTCTGTGGCGGTGACAGGAAGTGCGAGTATTTTCATGTGTGTGGAACAAATTGTGTTTCCGGTACGGAGCGAGGAGCGGCGCTGGTGATCACGTCGAGCGTTTGGAGGTCAGCGAGTCCACCGATAATTAACCTTCATCGTCTGTAACAGTCACGACATTTAAGCACAAAGTTAGAACAAGTGGGGCGGGGCTTCTGACGGAGTGTGGCTGGGGCTTAATATGAGTAGCAGAAAATTAAGAAACTTCATGTGTTGTACAAACAGTTTTATCGCCATGTTTGAAATAAATGAATAACATGTAGACCGTCACATGCTCAACAGGCTATGACCATGCCAGGCGACCAGTTCTTTATCACAGCAGAGTATTGTCCACATGTTTTCACGGTGCTTCTCGTCAGACTTGTGGGAGTCTGCTTGGTCTGAGGTGTGACATCACGGCGATAAATGGTGGAGGGCTGTCTCTTCATTAATTCCAAGCTCGCCAAGCAGTGGGTGTGGTAGGAAACATGAACGACCATAAACTGAAAACAGATGTGGGGAAAACGACACGTGTGATGAAGAGCTCTTGTCTCCATCGGTAAAATAATCCAGATGGTAGTGAATAACACACACGTCAGAGGAAGCCCTTCTAACAAGTGTTTACTGTGGATTAACGTCAATGATCAAGGTTCAGGATGATTGTTGATTAGGGTTTATTAACTTTATTGATCGTGGTTCTGTGTTCTCCTCAGGAACATGGTGACGTGTCTCTCAGTGTCGATGGACGGGACTCTGCTGCTGTCAGGGTCACACGATGAAACGGTGAGACTGTGGGACATTCAGAGTAAACAGAGCATCCGCTGCCTCACACACAAAGGTAAGTCCCGCACCGTGTGACATCATCAGGGTTGAGAGCTTTTCTATCTGTGCTGCCTTGCTCAAAAGAAATCTCAGCTTGAGATCTACTTCTGGTTACATGTGGATCAATGGAAGCTGCACTTTTAAGCTGTCACCTCAGGGAGGTGCTGTTTAAATGCCTCCTCCAGCTGCTGCTGGGTTATTAATGAGTGGTGACGCTGGCGGCGCTGTCTCCTCCTCTGGTGTCTGGTTGATGATGAGCGGCGGTGTGGTTCTGACAGGAACACGAGAAGGGACCTCCCCGCC